TGCTGGATTTAAAGAAGATATAAAATCGGTATTTCGATATATTATTATACCATACAAGTTAACCATATTTTAATCCTACTCTCGTTTCAAAAATATATCATTTGATATGTTTTTTTTCGATATTGAATCTAATTCAGAGAATTTTTTTATTGAGAAAAGTCATTGGAAATATTTTGATCGAAAGATATGAGGGTGAGTCTACTTGCTGTAATCAAAAATATGTATAAAATTGTTTTATATAGTTTGTATAATAGTGGCATTAATAATATATATACAATTTTATTAATTCTAACAATATATTCTTTTCACTTCCTGTGAAAAATAAAAATTTTTAACAATGTCCTATTTACAAAATAATTAAAAAAATGAAAATTAAATACGTAAGATATAAATGTAATCAAAATAATATAAATAAAATATAAATAAAAATATATATATAAAAATAAAATATATATGAATATACATATAAATGAATCTACCGAGCAGTCACTTAATTAAAAAAAAAAAATCTTTATTTCAGCTATTTGTCATGGTGGTATCAAGTTTATATACCCACTGAATTCGCTATGTACACTATGTTGTAATATATAGTATATTTTACAATGCCGTTGATATTTTCTCGCTTAAATTTAAGTGTGATTGTTATCCCGATCTGACTATTTGGGCAATAACGTCAGATATTTCTTAAATTCTGGAAGTACGCAGTCCCGTGGATTGAGCGGCTCCACCGCCAGTAGGTAATCGCTGAGATACTGCGGCAAAAAGCAAAGGATACCCTTGCTAGCCAGCATAGCCCAATCTACAGGTTGATTCACCTGTATTTACAATAATAATAATAATAATAATAATAATGTCTTCTTTTTGCAAAAAAAAAAAAAAATGAGCAATTACATATATAAATATACATGTGTACCATAATATAATAAGCATTTTTCATCATTCAAGTTTCAGCGCATTCATATATATCATTTATATCATATATATATACACACATATGTAATCAATTAATTATTTCGAATTATATATATAAATTATATATTCGCTTTTTAAAAATACTGGCAAAATTACTGAGGAGAGAAAAGCCATTAACCGTTTTAACCATATTGCACTTCAAGTAATATATTTTAGAAAGTGAGATACTGTTCACCTGTTTCACATTGACGAAACAGTGCGTGATCCTGCGTCCACACGAACTGACATCATATGGCGGTCTGTGATCAAATCAAAGATATGCATGATAATGCGTAATAGAATTCTTTTCTTTATGAATATTGATGAATATTTACCTCGCTTGCGTTACCGAACCGCCACCGGCTTCGATGAGTCTCTTGAACTGATCGTGCTTGTCCTCGGAGACCATTAGCAGTGCCACCATGTTGGAAAACGGACCGTCCAGCTCCTTCTGCAATCTCAGCCGCCACTTATAAGCTGCGGCCGCAATCGCTTGCTCGATTTTGCCGTTAGGTTCTGGGATCGTACTTTCGCTTTTCGGATTGCCCCATTCGTATTTTTCTTCCTAAAATTTTTATCCATTCGAGAATAGAGAATATGAGTAGAATTGACAGAAAGTTGCAAATATAAAGAATTTGTTTCATCCTGATGATTTTAGATCAAGAGGAATTTAACTGTACTACACTCGAAATTAGCATTTTGTTTAAAGACTAAAAAAACTGTAGTTGTCTAAATTTTACCTTGTTCAATAGATTTTAATTTTTATCATTAAAAATATCCCTATTTTTAAGTTTGATATAACGTTTTTTCGCGTCTCGAAAATGTCTGCATTGATAGACACGATATCTACTTTGTTTTGCAATAAATGATTATCTACTTCGATTTTCAATTAACATTTGTTGAAAAAAATGGATTCTTAATTGATCGAAAAATATATTGTTAATATATTGAATATAATATAATATATCTAACAAATATACTAACGTCGAGAAATCTGCCTTCTTGTTCACAGTCACGTAGATATGAGGTATGTAAGAGCCATTTTCCGGCAGCTATGCTACCGAGCATCTTCTCATTTCTGGAGAGCCTAATGCATAAGAGATGCGTGGCGCCATTATCATATTTTGAATCCGTCGACACGTCTCCGCCGAGATCGTGTATCACTTGTTCGTACACTATCTTATCCTGTTAAAATACATTGACGTATAGTGATCGCAATATATTAAATTAAAACTAGCTACATATCTCCTCGAAGATGCTATACCTTTATACCCGAGAGCATAAATCGTCGTGTCATTGATAGTTGATGTTCAGTAGTATCTTTGTCAGTATGTTCTTCAATCATATCGCCATGAATATTTCCACTTGTTTGTTTGTCTAAAGTTAGCTGTAAATATGAACAGTGTAAGGAGTATAACGTGTATTAATGCTACAATATGCAAATAAATTATTAAAAGTTATTAAACTACAATTCTAAAATTTTAATTTTTCTCAAATCGAATTTTCACGAAATTTTATCATTATTATATCAAATATCAAAAGTTATAATTTGTTCATACCGCATGCATTTGCATATTTTTTTATACTTTGGTCTTTTATATTCTTTATTGTATTATAAGCCACAAATCTTATTACATTTCAAGCACAAAAGTATTAAAATGCATCTAACCAAGACGGAGTTTTTTTTTTATTGCATGGAAATTGTTTGGAGAGAAAAAATACATAAGCTATTAACCCACATACCCGCTTTGGATGATTCGGATCTTCCCATACGATAGCATCGATAGGTTGCGAGTCTTTTATTATACCTATTTGTAAAATGATTAATAAATCAGTGATACAGAACATAATACAAAATTGAAAACATCGTCTCTGCAATCTGATAATATGTATTCACAATGAGTACTCACACTTTTGTATGTCATCAGGAACTTCGTTGTATTTTTTTGCACTTTCTCCAGACAACGAATATCTATTTTCAGGAGTACGTGTTTGTTGAAGCATTTGATCCAACTTCGCTATTTGCCTGTTTATATCACAAGATTCAATTTTAATCTCATTTAATCTTATCAATAATAATCGTCTATGCCATTCAAACCATTTTCTTGTCTCTTATTATGTATTTTATCTCTTATCTCACTCATTATATTCTAATTATTCGAAACAAATCGAAACGTACATGTTTATTTCATTACTCGATTTATTTGACACTGGACTATTTTCTTCGTCGAAATCTAGTTTCCGGTTAATAGGCTCGGGAGTTGGTGCAGCTTGTTTGCTAAACTGATTGGCCTTTTCCTCATCAGCTCTTTTCATAAAAGAATCATCATTCGGTCTCATTGTGGTTTCATTTGATGCATCTCTCTGACAATTTAATGTATAGAGTTAATTGAAGCAATCTTGATATTAAGATAAAAATTGCATTGCTGCTAGATTTATTTTAATATTACAAATTTATCCTGTCCCTATACGAAATATTGAATCAAGATTTATGTGTGACTTTTAAAAATATTTATATCTTACCTTTTCAGATTGATCCGCATTCTTCAATTTCTCCCACAACTGTCTCTTTAACTCTGAGAGCGGCTGTAAATGCAATTCTTAATTATACCTTATTAATTTGAATTTGTAATCAGAAATCGCGAAAGGATAATACTCACAGTGCTAGGCGCGCGTCGTTTTAAGGGCGGTTCCGCTACTTGCAAATCAGGGAAATTGTCCACCCATTTGACCCACCCTTTTCGTGTGTCTGGTGATGGATTAGATTTAAAAACCTGTCCATACGGAGAATCTGGAGTAGACACGTGAAACGGAGAATTCGGGCTCTGGTTCATTACAGCACTAAGTCTCTTGTTCACTAATGGGGTTTCGATAGAGATCATCTCCTGTAATGTTCAAAATTATCAAAATTATCAAAATTATAATTTTAAATGTGAATCTTGTGGTTTGTTGGAGCAAAACAGTTTTAATCGCTCTAGTATTAATTAGTCGAATTTTCATGAGCATACTTGACTTGACTTGATTTGCTTTGACGTCACATTCATATATACATACATAATTGTAGTTTTATTATGTTACATATTATAATATAATATACATAGATGTTATAAATGAAATATTAATATAATACTGTAAATACCGTGATTTGAGGTAAATGGCGCTTCGGTGTAAGGATAGTCCGCGTTGTGATCTCTTCTGCCAGATTTGTTCTATTTTCGTAAACACTCGATGGAGTTTGTTGGAGAGTTGTTTCGCTCGTATTGATATTCGATCTATCTGGCGCTTTTTTAACAAATAAGTTAAAATTATATGTATACAAACGCAATAACAGAGATCGAAAAATAAATCGAGATCAGAAATCTCTTCGCAATTCGAAATTGACTGCATATATTCTACATTAAATCAGATATTTCAAAAAGAAGAGAAATTTGAGAAAGAATAGAGCACGTATAGAATAATTGATATATATATAAATCAATTTACCCATTGTTTCTCCGACGAGAAATGGAGTTTCGTCTACAAGCATTAATTGCTCAGCACAAATTTTCAGCCAATCGGCAGTGATAGCTGGCAGTTTCCATCTTACGGCGGCGTTGTATTTATTCCCTTCCGGAGTTGGACAAACGAGGTGTGTACTGCCGTACGTATTCTTCTCCGCGTTAGCTTTCCGCGCAAACATATCTTGACATCTGAAAATTACGAAAAAATATATATTTTCAACATACTTGCTTATATAGAATCATCCAATTTTCCGACTTTGCGTCCTCAATGACCGACTGGTACAGCTGAATTGTTGGCCAAAATGTAGTCGGCATAACCGGGAGTATCGCTGTCATAATGAGTAATAGGTGCAAACATATCGAAATTTTTTTGCACAGTAATAGGAGAACAAGAGGCTACTCTCGCGAAAACAGAACCGATTGTAAATTCTAATCCATCTTATGTAAATTTAATCTTGAAATTTATTTTTGTATATAGATTGATAAATATACGTTACATAGCGCCAAGTTGTTTAGCTAATGCCGAAAGGTACATTCGTTCAGTGCCGGTATACATGCTCATCGTTATAACACATCCCGACAATGGACTGCAAGATTTTCTAATAGAGAACGGCTTGTGATAATACATAACATCGACAATTCGCTCCTGGTTTATGCAATCTTCCTGTTAACAAACCGATAATTAACAATATTAATAATTCATCACAATAATTATCAAGTATCAGATATTAATAAGAAGAATGTCTTATATATTCATACATATCTTCCTAAAAGATATAAAATTAAAACTTTTGAAGAAAAATTAAAATTTCTAAAAGATACATACGATAAATAAATCGGTTACAATTTCATTGACTGTGTGTTTTAAAAGTGCTCCTTGTATAGGTACGATCCCGTAATCCGGAATACCGCTGTACGTTTTCGAGACGACGCGTCCACCCAACATTTCGATCGTTTCTTTCACGTTGTTGTCCTCGTTATCGAAGTCGACCACGACGAATGTCAAACCTGTGTGTACCATTCTATTCAGTTAAATCTTTAAAATGTATCTCTTTGATATTGCCATTTCTTTTCTCTAAGAAAATATTCTTATATAAAGAATTTATATACAATCATTTATTCCCAGAAGAAAAATCTAATTCATCTTGTAAAAGGGGGATACCCTATAATATTTCTCTCTTTCTTTTGCAAGATTATGCTAGATATACATATGTGCTATTACATCTCTTGATAACAACCATCCATTAACTAACATCAATTTCAACATTATAATACGAATAGAGAATTTAATCACACTTTAAACGATAACATATATAGATACATATAGTCATTTTATTTGTTTTTCAAAACAAAGAAATATGGAAATAAAAGAGAATAAATTTTTGATTATACCTCTGAGCAGCTTTTCGTTTATCGTGCTTTGGCTAAGCGGTACGGAGCTGTCGTCTTCCGCATTTTTAATTTGCGTGGTATCCGAGCGAGTTTCATTGATGTTACTCGAATTACCTCTGTCTTTATCCTGCAAAATAGGCGTACGAGGCTTCGCGTCACTACACTCGGTAATCCAATTATCTATAATTATAATAAAAAGTATCTATAAACACTCAAAAAAATTTTCCCACAAAAATAATTATAATCTTTTCTAATTAATTAACAATATGCATATAAAATATGCATACAATGTGTATCACAAGTATATAGATATCAGAAGGCAGTTCATATTATTACCGTTAGTTTTCTGCAGATATTGCTGCACGAGATCAGATTGATCTTTTTCATTCGCAAGTACAACTTCTTTTTCTAAGTTGAAAGGTGGTATAGGTGGCCTCTTTGGTCGTTGCAACATTTGTAAATTCTAAAGTAGCATGCAAACACATACATTAGTCCTTGTCAATATATCAATTTGTCAATGCAAAAATGTTTTGTGTGTTTGTCATATTAATTAATATACCGTTTTACTAAATGATTAGATAAAACTCACACATAATTCAAAAGCTAACTTTTTGCAAAAAAAAAAAAAAAAAAAAAAAAAACTGCAGAGGAGAAAAAATAGTTTTAATGAGACATTTTGCAACAATCTGAGAATATCATAAATTTTTAATTGCTTTTAAACGTTTATATTGACCTTTTGACTGAGCGGAGAAGCAGGCGTCTCATTATTTTTCTTAGGTGTTTCGCTTTTTACTTTAAACAAAAAGCGATCTTCTGGTGCAGGCCGTTTCAGTTTCATGCTTTCCTCTAGCCATTCTATGTTCAATATGTAAGGACTGTGCAGAATAAATGTAAACAATAAAATTTTAAATTTTAACTATAGAAATAAAACTAATTAATCCAAAAGGTAAGTATATTTAAATATTAATATTAATATTAAATATATAAATATTAATATTAAATATATAAATATATAATATATAAGTTATTCAGAGTGCAATATATAATCAATTTTGAGAGGCCAGACCTCTCCAGATCAGTCCTCTTATTTAGATTCAAAATAAATATTCTTTTTCAAAAGAATATCTTTTAATTAAAAGAAATTAAAAATAAAATCTTTTTCATGGATTAAAGTGCAAATAGAAAATAAAATCTTATTTTTTATCATACCATAAACCTCTCGATTTCATTGCTTTCAATTGCGCAGAGGCTTTATTCTCGTCGCCGACAATTACGTGTGTCACAGTACCCGATATGTCATCGAAACGTGTCGCACCGCCCATATTAAATATTTTATTCAATTTATCCTTGATATTTGCCGGAAATCCAGCGAGGTAAATCTGCAAAAACAAGGCATTAATTGCAAAATTAAAATAATGAGAGAAAAAGTGTAAAAAAGAATTGTAAAGAAAGATTTACATTACATCCATCCAGAAATGGTCCAGCCGATTTTGCTTCACTGAGTCGATCCAAAACATTTAACATAGCATCTGCACGAAAAAAAACAAAAATACTTCCATTTAAAATCGATATGGTAAAAAACACAAGAATTATATTAACAAAATTTATTAGTGTTTACTGTTAGAGAAATTATTAAATACTGTATACACAGTAGAAAAATTTGGTAATTAATATTTAATTAATTAATACTTACTATTAGAAAAATTATTATGTACTGCATCCACAGTAGAGAAATTTGATATTGTTGAACTATAAGTCTCGTTTATGTAATTATTGTGACACTTATCATATGGTATAGAACTGATTTCAGAACAGTTAAGTGTTTCTCGAACTGAAAAATATATAAAGAATATTATTATTTCAAGCCATTATCTATATTAAACTAATAAATTATTTCTTGTCCAATTATTTATAATTATCCAAAAAATAATAAATATTTTTTCTACGACATCACATATAACATCACACATAGTTTAATATTATTATACGTTATTCATTCTAAAAAATCAATTCAAACATCTATAAAAATTATTAAAAAATTATAAATTCAAAAAACAGCAATAAAAATAAAAAAAAAACGCGATAAATCGATTCGCGAATAAATTACGATTTTATTTATGCATTTAACACAGATAGCTCTTTATCAATATGTTACATACTATGCGACTTTTCCGGTGTTGAACACGCTTTCACAGATTTGATAATGAAATTGTGGAAAGGTAATGCGTATCCTACTTTAATACTTTCATGCACCCAATCGGGTTTTAAACAAGCAATATCGTTATCCATAGCGTATTTTAGCTTATCGCTCATTGGGCCATTTTCAGAAGCCAGAACCACTCGAACTTTTGTTCCATCGAGAGGACCCATAAATGTCTACAAAACACAAATGTAATTCAAATTAATTGCTGACATCTTTCGGCTATAATTAATGTAAGATTTAACTTACACCTCCATGATTATGTATCAAACGTTTAATTTCTTCTTTCTGATATTTGGAAAGATTTGTTGAAGTAACTATTAGATTCTTAAACACTGGACATTTATATTTATCAAAAATCTTATCATTTGCCGGAGTTATCTTCTGCAAATTTTCTTCCCAAACAGCTTCTACCCATTCCTTCATCATGATTGGTATTTTCATTTCTATAGCACCCTTGAAAAGAAGAGAGATTACCAAAGATAGATGTAGATTCTTAAATAATATATTTGGGGTTAACCAAATAACATATTATTGCATTGTAGTGTTACATATACATATATAACTTAATTAGAAATTATTTGAAGAATAATTAAATATTGTAAGTATATATATACTTCATATTTTTCAGACATCACAGAATCTGCTATTAAATGTGTGACAGAACTTCTTAATTGCTTTGTGAAGAAACCTCCCATATATTCGACTTTTTTTTGTATCTGATTCTGCAATAACAATTAAAACTTGGAAATTGGCGTCTCGTGAAATAACTATAGTTTATTCATAAAAACTATCAAGATATTTGTACCTTGATTTCTGGAGTTACACCCGATACACAAATACACATTCCCCTCATAGCAGTTGTGTATATTGGGCTCTTTCCTTCAGGAATCGGTTCTCCATTTAGAAAACAGATAAGCAAGCACTTTGGTGATACTATTCTGCTAAAATATAAATTAACAATATAAATGTTTTTTTAACTCTTTTTTATTTACTTCACATAACACTAAAATAAGATATATATTTGTTATTATAAAATAAAAATAATAACTAATTATTTATATCTTAAATTTGTTTATAGCAGTACAAATTAGCTATTTGTATACTTACGAGCATTTAAAATTTTTTAACTTTTCAAACAAAGTACCATTAAATTTTTCTATAATAAAGATATCGTTTTTTGATGGTTTCATCTTATCGCAAATCCTTTCAGCAACCCATCCTGGTTCCAAGCTAAGTTCACAACATTTCTAATGTAAACAAAATAAAACTTCTTAATTAATTCTTTGGTAATTTATATAATTCATTAGAATATACAATTAGATATTTAAAAAAATATAAATCTTATATAAGATAGACATTCTATAAAATTTTAAATATTAAATTAAAATGTAAGCATGCCAACATGCATCAGCTTTGGTTCAATATTAATTATGATGTTGACATTCATTTTACGATCAATATTGACTCTCAAGACTTGTGCTTATATTTATATTATGACATTGGCCTATTTTAATTCAAGTTTTTAATTTATAATTATTAATTGAACAAAGCTAATTGTAAAAATTTGCACATATACAAATTCAAATAAATTGGTTGAGTTTCTTCTTGTTTCAGTTGAATAACAAATACTAAAATTGCTGATTCTATTGCGTACTTTTAAAAAAGATTTGTTCATTTTAATTTAAATCTGATATAAAAAGCGAGTCACAGGCATACATACATACATATATAAAGAATGAAATACAAAAGAAAAAAATACACGCCCAAAACTCAATAACAGAGAAAAAATTAAAAATATATACGAACGTTAAACGCCTGCCACATTTCCTCGCTGCAATCATTTTCAGACTCCTGATCATTCGGAACAACAAAGTGAATATTCACGTCGCACTCAAATTGACTTTCCTGAGTCGTCATTTCGTATTGCGCTTTATAACTGAAATTACACGCGAGACTCTTGTTACAGACGAACGCGAAAGGCGAAGGTATACACGAATTGGAGCACTCTAAATATACTGCAAAAATATTCGTGTCCAGAAATTTTCAAAAATATGAGACCCTTTCTACAATGTTTACCACATATTCTTTTTCGTCATCGTGAATTATAATGGCATCATGACATCGAATACCGGAGTCTACTACGTATATGTGCAATAGTGCAATATGCGGTAAAACAGAGATGAGACGAGAGCAACTGGTGTCATTTGGCGGGGCCATAGACATATAAAATACATAGACGAATGAATAATCGGTACCAACTTAACAAAAAAAAAATTGTCCAGATATAAAAAAATTGTATACTATATCTTTTTTACATGGTAACACAAAAATTACGTATATCGCTATAAAACTTTGCAAAATACCGTAAATATTCGCATTAGATATCGTATATAAATTCTTTTCAAATATTTTTGTTCTCCAATTATAACTCAATTTATTTTAATTTTAATTACAGATTAACATTATTAATATTTAAACATTTTGACTTCTTAAATAATCTAGCGTAAATAGTGTGAAAAAGTAATTTAGTTAAATTAAAAAATACTTATTTAAGGTACAAATCTCATACGATTGCACGCATCAGAGAGAAGCTTAAAAGGAGGCTATGGCCACAGATTAATAGACAGATAGCCAAAGGCCCGGATGAAGGCGAGACCGGTATTTCTCACTGGTTTCAGCGCCATACCGTAGTAGTGGCCAAAGCAGTAATTACGTTCCCAAAATAAAGTCGCGTCGTTAATACGATGGTAATAAATTTTCGAAGTCAAAAGTCGCATCGTTAATACGACGGTAATGCTTTCCATTTAATCAAAAACATTAAAAATTATTTACATTAAAATTTCTGTCTTTCTTCAATATCCACGTGTAAGTAGAAAGCAACGAGGAATATGAGTTTTATGTTTTAGAAAAGGTTTGAAAACTGCTTTTTTAATAATTAATTATTTTATTTATAATTTAATAATAAACAAATATAATGAAAAATTAGCAGAACATAAAAAAAATCATCAAATCCTTAATGAAGGTATAATATTTAATATCCCTTTATTAAAAAATATTAATCGCCTATAAGAACGTTCATAATATAAATTAACTATAAAAAATAATCCTGATGAACATAATCCATGAGAAATTATCAAAATATATGACCTAACAAACCCTATTTTTATTAACGCTAATATTGAACATATCAATATATTTATATGAACCACTGATGAATAATGAAATAAATATTGTATATATTAATAAATAATATGAAGCTTTTAATCGTTCAAAATTTATTCCTCAATAAATAATTATTATAAATGTAGGAATCAATCTTAACTCGAATATTAAATAAAATACAATTAAATTTATTGAAGAAAAAAATATTAATAAAATCATTAATATAAATATAAATATTATTATCTTTTTTATATAATTATCTTTAAATATTTTATTATCTAATTGAATAACTATAAATATTAAACCTAAAATTCATAATCTTAAAATTAATATATAAAATGAAAAAAAAATCATGTCCAAATATTATTCCCACCCTAACTCAAATTATATCTTTATATATAAAATAAAATAAAAAAAAATCTCAAAATAAAACAAATATTATAATAAAATATAACTTTTATATTTATTAACTCTTATATTAACCCAAACCAAATTTTAGTTTTAAATCAGAAATAGGGCGTAATCTCGGTGCAAAAGCGGAGTAATTTTGGCGTACAAGTTGCGTAAAAGCGGCGTAATTTTTGCGTAAAAGTTGCGTAAAAATGGCGTAATTTCGGCGTAAAAGCGACGTAATTTTGGCGTAAAAGCGGCGTAATCTCGGCGTAATTTTGGCGTACAAGTTGTGTAAAAGCGGCGTAATCTCTGCGTAAAAATGGCGTAACTTCGGCGTAAAAGCGGCGTAATTTCGGCGTGATCTCGGCGTAACCTCCGTGCAAAAGCGGAGTAATTTCGGCGTAATCTCGGTGCAAAAGCGGAGTAATTTTGGCGTACAAGTTGCGTAAAAGCGGCGTAATTTTTGCGTAAAAGTTGCGTAAAAATGGCGTAATTTCGGCGTAAAAGCGACGTAATTTTGGCGTAAAAGCGGCGTGATCTCGGCGTAATTTTGGCGTACAAGTTGTGTAAAAGCGGCGTAATTTTGGCGTAATTTTGGCGTACAGGTTGTGTAAAAGCGGCGTAATCGCTGCGTAAAAGTTGCGTAAAAATGGCGTAATTTCGGCGTAAAAGCGGCGTAATTTCGGCATAAAAGCGGCGTAATCTCGGCGTGAAAGTTGCATAAAAATGGCGTAAAAGCGGCGTAATTGCGAATTATGCTTCAATATTAGTCGCGATCGCGTTTAGAGGAAGAATTCGATAATATACAAAGTGTTTCGCACCACTACATCAGTGCTCGAGCGTCGCCGCGCGAATGATAAGCCCATAAGTCGTAACACGTTAACAATAGTACGCTAATGTTTACGCCGAAATATTTTTCGTACTATGATATCATATATACATATACAAGCGAAATGTTAAATCATACAGGTATTTTAAATAATAGATCATTTATTTAATAAAAGATTAATATATCACGGAGCTTGTCGTTATGTTAATTATTCGGATTTGCGATTTGACTATATCATTGCGCATTTTCAATCCCGATCATATATTTAAATCGTCGAAAAGTCAAACGAATAAGAACCGGACGATACTTTAAGTATTTTTAAGGAAATAATTATTGGTTATAAAAAGAAAACAAAATCGCGAAAGTGGAATTTGAGGCAGCATGTCGCACTGCTACTTTACTACTCGAGTGTCACCGTGCAAATGATAACACGTAGGAAAGAGATTTGAGAGTCTCATTCATCGACATATAGAATAGACTGCTGTCAGCTTTTCGAGATTTTGGAAAACTATGCGCCATTACGTTATAGCTTGGATGTTTGGCAGGACGCAATTATGAACATTTAATTCTTATTCGTAATGTTTGTTATCAGATAAAAAAGAATGCGTGAGAGTGCGAACTCATACAGCGGAATAGCGTAACGCGGAACGAGAGCATGACCAATCGCAAGCGTTCTGCTGTTTTCGCTACGCTCACGATTGGTCCGCTCTTGTTCCGCGTTACGCTTTTCCGCTGTCATGGGTTTGCACCCTTTTCCTCACACTTTTAAATTGACAATTTTAGCGCTCACGCACACTACCAGGCGCGCGGCTAAAGGTCGGCGCTCATTGGCCAGACTTTACTCAATAATAACTCCTTTAATAAGCAATATAGAAAAATCTGTCTATTAATCTGTGCTATGGCTATGCCGCCGTTCTTCGAAAGACGCGTTTTCTAGCTCGTACAGTAGCGTCAACTAGAGCCATTTTAGAGAACTACATGGCCAGAATCACTTTTCGGTACTACGGTAAAACGGTCGGTTGGTGCATGTCCATGCTAAATCTAAATACATATAATTATGGATCAAAAATGCGGAGAAATATTATGAATATTATGAAATATTATGAATAAATATTAAGTGTGTGTGTAATTTTTATTTAATTTATTTTGAAGAAACGGAGAACTAGAGTTAATATATAATAATATAATATATGTATGTGTATGTGTGTGTGTGTGTGTGTGTGTGTGTGTGTGAGTAATTATACATACATACACATAAAATAAATAGCGCGCGCTTATAGCGTTCTATTAAAAAATAATAAAAATGATAAATAATTTATTCTCTCTCCCGTGAATACCGATCATCCCATGCACACTTGGGGAACCATGAAATCTAACAAGTGATAAAAAAAATATTGGCCGATGTCTGCCGCACGCCACGCGTTGCCTCGCCATTTTATCGGCAAGTGATACCGCGTGCAGTTGGACGTACTACGATCCTACCGCTCAAACTCGCCGAATAGAGAATCGACGTCCAATTCGCGTCACGCCTATCGCGTCTATTTGGTATAGCGTAAATACAACCCTTCACGGCCCTGAATCACCGTTCGATATCCCGATCGATAGTGACGCCTACTGTCGCCGTACCGTTTTGACAGATGCAAGACATGGCGATCTGGCGCCGGTACCGGCGCCGCATCCGCATCGCGCCGCTTTTCTTCTAATCACACTGCATGCAAATTATATCCATTTACGCATTCTATCCATAAAATACACGTATAATACACTGTAATTCACACTCGCGTTTATTCTCGCTCTTTATACATCCAACACATACACACATCATATACTCACACTCTGTAATACGCACAGCGTATTATAATTCGCGCGCACGTATATATACGCACTTTCTGTATACAATACATTCATAATACAATGTAATTCATGCTCTTTGACATTTACACATACACGCACACGCTATCAAAGAACTGAGAAAAGAACGAGCAATATATGTCTATCTTGAAAATAATAAAAATAATAAATAATTTATAAATTACTTACCGCATATCGTTGGTCCGTCCATCGACCAAATTTCCTTTTCCTCTCTTGTTCATCTCTCTGTGTCTTCGTGGCACTCACATTCACTCGCGAAAACACGATTAATTATATGATTAGCCGTATACGCAATGATCGCGAGACACTTTGCACGGTACTCCCGATCGCGGAACAATCATATAAGATACTCAGTTTATTATACCGTAAGACATACCGTAAGACATAGAGTAACATACAAGAAGTATGATTGTAGCGAATTATATTTTAATACTTGTCGCGATCGCGTTTAGAAAAGTAATTCCCCCACTACTACGATCCTATTCAAGTGTCGTCGTACGAATGATAACAAAGCTGTAACACATAAACAATAGCGCGCTATTGTTTATGCCGCCAAGGCCGCATACCATGCTGTTGATAATTCGCAGCCGAAATTACTTTGCGTGCTATGACGTATATACAAACGGAATATTAAATTATAAAATATTTTAAATTATATATCAATTATTTAATAAACGATTAATATATCACGGAGCGTATCATTATGTTAATCGGACCTGCGAATCGACTATTTTATTGCGCGTTTTCAATCCGAATCATATTTAGATCGTCGAAAAATCGAATAATAAAGCGGACGAAATATATTTAATTTTAAGTTTTTTAAAAGAAATAATTGTTGCCTAGAGGAAAGAGAGAGAGGGAAGGCGAGGGAGAGAAAGAGAAAGAGACAAAGAGAACGGGAGGGAGGGTGGAAGGGAGAGGGAGAGAAAAATGGAGAGTGAGAGGGAGAGGGAGAGAGAGAGGGGGGGGGAGAGAATTAATTAT